GTTTGGTTTGTAGGGTTTAGGGTTTGGGGTTTAGGGCTTGGGGTGTAGGGTTTAGGGTTTCGGGTTTAGGGCTTGAGAGCTCTGCAGGGTTTAGAGACTGGGGTTTATGATGTGAACGTTTTTCATGCAGTTTTGTAGATTTTTCAGGCAGGTTTAGGGCATGAGGGTCAGGGTTTCCATTCCAAGGGAGCCAATAGCCAATAGCCAGTATAATCATACGACATACAGGTTGGTTTTGAGGGTCTTCATCATGATGTTAGGCTCTATTGCTGGAGTAAGCGACATTGTGCTCTCCGACCGTTGGGTTCAGAAATTCGGCCTCCGATTTTGGATTTCAGGTTTAGGGTTTAGCATCTTTTTACATGGCTGTATGATTCCGGGTTTAGATTTCCGCCTTTCGGATTCGGGGCATTCGGGGTGGAAGGTTCTCTTCAAGCTGGCTTCGGAGACTTAGGGTTTATGGTTTAGGTTTTGAGTTTGGATCGGCTCGGGGCTTTGCTTGTTGATAGGCTCCTTAAAGGGGAGTACCGCGGGAACAGAAGGCCAGCCGAGAGATCTTGATGCCGGCTTTTGGGGGATGTCTTTGAAAAGGGCACTTAGCTAGAGTTCGGGGATCATGATGGTAGATGTCGGCAGAGGATCGCAGTGAACTCCCGCCGTCGTCCTCGGTAATGTTCATCGATACTACCCGTACACCCGAAACCCTTACAATGCGGAACCCGAAATCTCAAACCCTGTTCATCCGAATCCCAAATTGGGTCTGCTGTCGTCAGCACGGACTGCCTTCGCGCGATCTCTTCTTGGCTCAACCAGTCACGGCGCTTCTTTTTGCCCTCTTGGGCTCTACATATCATCCGCGCCTCGTAGCTGAGGAGCAGTTAGGATCTTCATGTTGTCCAAAGCCGCTTGGCCGCTGGCCCTTTTGCCTCCTGGCTGCAGTTCAGAGTTGCCTAGTACTTCCCCAGAGAACCCAATACCCGTTACAAAAAGGAATATACCTTAAAGTACAGGGGCCTTAATATTAGGATTTTTCGGTATCTTCCTTAGTTAAGGGGTCTCGGGTTCTCTGGGTCTAGTCCTAGAGAAACCCATATAGGAAGCCAGAAGCTGCATACACGCTAAATCGTAAACCCGACATAAACCCTAAACCCTTTCACTGAAACAGAGCCCTGTCGAATCAGTCCCTCAGAACAGACGAGGTTCAGGGTCTAAGGTTCAGGGTTCCGAAGCCCGGTTTGAAGTGTTGAGTTTAGGGTTCCTCAACCCCCCCAAACCCATGACCTGAAACCCCCAAATCGCGAACCCTAGACCAAGAACGCCCTACACCAATAGCTTGCAGCCCACAAGAACATATCCATAAACCCAAACCACCCTTTGTTCGCAGCGAAAGCCCCGAACGACGTCTTCGCGAAGCCCACAAGTCGTAAAGGTTTAGTCTTTAGGATTTGGGGTTTAGGGTCGTAGAGGTTTAGTTTTCAGGGCTCTTTAGGGGTCTGGGGTTTGGGGTTTAGGGCTTTTGAGGGCTCTTTAGGGCTCTGGGGTTTGGGGTTTAGGGATTTAGGGCTTTTCGAAGGGGCCTAGCAGCTTTCTAGAACGGTTCTATGGGGGCTGTCTATGTGGGTTCTTTAAGGATCCGATAAGGTACCTGTCTATGAGTTTTAGAAGGGTTCGATGGGGGTTCTGCAGTCTTGAAAGCCCACAGTTACTAGCATCACGCTCTTTCTGGAAAGGTATACTTGTGCTTCAAAAAGAGCACTACAGTACTGTTGATGATATAAATCCTGCATTACTTGAGGACCCTAAACTATGGGAATTATGGTATACTCCTTATTCTAGATAAAGCAGGATTTTTTTATCATCAACTGTATCATTCCCACGCCTTACACCCTTAATCCCAGAGGTGCAACAACCTCAGTTTGACAACAGAGCCTTCAATCAGCATCCAGTCCCTACTGTTTTAACCTCCAAACGGACATCCGTGAAGCCGTGAGATATGTACATGCACATGTTTATATGTGTCTATATGTATATATATATACACCTGTATAATATGAAGCAATATGAAACTGTATAGACATACACAAACATACATTTGATAAACGTGCCGCAGAAGCAAATGATGCCGTTCAGGGTTCAGGGTTTGAGTCTGGAGACTTTTGCCACAGTCTATTCGTATAGGGGCTCCCAAACCCCAAACCCTGAACCCTACAAGCCTTTCAAAAACCCCTCAAGCCTTAACCACCGTGAAGTTCAAAACCCTAAACCCTACAAGCCCTAAACCCCAAAGCATTAAACACCCTGAAGGTCAAATCCCTAAACTCTACACCCCAAACCCCTAAACCCCAAACCCCTAAACCCCAAACCCCCAAACCCCCAAACCCTAAAGCCCCAACACCCTAAACACTAAACAAACAAGCTTTTGGAGGCTCCTGGCGGAGGCCTCTGCGAACCCCTCCATGCGTGGCTTCCTCTCGCCAGGCTCCGATCAATACAATGCAAGGTTTTATTGCAGTTTAGCGCTTAGGGTTTAGGGTTTAGGGTATTTTTTCTACAGAGATGTAAGAACTTGCAGTTGAATATTGAAGGGACAACAGCCACAAGACAACACCGGCGATGTGTACGGTGTAAACGCCTATGGGGGCTGTGAACAGGTTTCGCCTTGGGTTTGCAGCGGTGTTTAGGGTGTTGGTGTCCGGAATCTACGAGATTTCTGAAGATTAGGGGTCCCAATGGTAAGGATTCTTCTTTTTGTGTTTAGGGTTTATGGTTTGCCTGGACCTCTTAAAGAAGCTTCTAAGCCATACGAGCCCAGTACTTCTAAAGGTCGTCAGAAGCGCGTGAAGCACGAGAGACGCTTCGGACGACAAATGCGACCCTGGAAACGTAGTTCTGTAAATCCCTCAACCATGGAGTAATCGGATTTCAATCGCTAAACCTAAGCGCTAGACCCTTACCTCCTTTTTTGGACAAGTGGCTGTTTCTGGAAATTTGACCCCAATAAAGAACCCCAAGAACCCACCACAGCTGATAAGCCCTCACAGAACGCTTCGAAAACCTTAAAAGATTATAAAGTCGTCTTCAAAGCCTATAAAGCAGTTGTGAAATTTGTTTGCATCCCGAGTTCCTGAAATCCGCGAGCCGTCTCTTCGGCAGGCTCCGACTTTTCCGCGGTTCCGGCGCAGCCTCCCGGCTGCAGATTCCAGGCTTTGCAGGGCTTTCTAGGATTTTGTAGGGTTCTTGTCCGGTTTCGGAAGGTTCTTCTGTGCTTTACATGTAGGGCGCAGGGTTTCGGGGTTCTGGGATACTTTGCGGGTTTTGGGGCTTTAGGGTCGCCCTGGCCTCAAGATGGGAACGTCCTCGGTTCACTTTTGGGACATCTCGAACCACCTTTCAGCCCAATCAAGCCGCATAAGATCCCTCAGCCCTAAACCCTAAACTCTAAACCCTACGCCCTAAACTTTAAACCCTACACCCTAAACCCGCGCCGTTTCAGGGTTTGGGGTTTCGGACCCTGCGACACGGTCTGCAAGCTTCAGGGGTTGCAGGATCATCTAGAGAAGTGGCAGGAACTGGGTTCTGCTACTTGGAGGATCATGGGACTTAGTAAGTAGGATTATCAGTACCTAAATTAGGGATACAAGTAGATAAAACTAGATATAACTGTAGCTACCTTACTCATAACCGTACTTACTAAGTCCCCTGATCCTCCAAGCAGGCTACTTGAAGGACTTCGAGGTAGAGCTATAAGGAGGGCACCCCTAAACCCAGAGTTAGGAAAAAACGGCCCAGATTTAGGCCCGAACCGGAGCTTTGGCTACCGTGGTGCTCGTCCTCTGTGCCTGGGCGGAGGATGGGCAAGTCTGCCGTTTTCCGTGTTATGTAGGCACCTGGTAAGGAAAGCCTGGCCCTATAACCCCAAAGTATTAGTGGTCGTGAAAACAAAGCCCTGATAAGGACCCTAGGGCTTCAGGCTTTTTGGAAACTTTAGGCTTTGTGAGGTAGGGTGTTGGGATTTCGGGTTCTAGCATTTCGTAGCTTTCTAGCTTTGTGCTTCACTAGTCCTATCACCTGTGAAGAAAGGCTTGTATTGCCGTGACCGGACGATTGTCCTCTTCCTCTGGTTCAAGACCCGCTTGTAGGATGTCTCTAGTTGACGACTGGAAGTTTAACCCTAAACCCTTAACAGAGAAAAAAGGGCCGACAAACCTTAGCAGTAGGTTTAGGGTTGGGCTTGTGGGACAGAAATCAGGAACCCAGGTTCTTCAAGGGCCTATGTCGGATTTCAAGGCTGAGGGCTTGGGCTTTCAGGGTTGGAAGACTAGGGACGTTTATCGTCACGGATTTCAGGGTTTAGAGTTTGTGGTGCGGATGTTAGGCATGTTCGAGCCAGCAATCGCACAATGATAGCAGGAGGCCCTCTGAAAAGCTGCTTTTGATCACGAGGATCACCCCGAAGCTCTCAACACATCCTGTT